AAACGCGATATCGGTCGTCCAGTCGCCTGTGTCGTGTGTCTAGCGATTTCTCCCGCTGTCTGCCGCCTGTTTCTTCTGGCCTGTAAGGCAATATACCGGTCATCTGCGGGTGTGGTTCCTCGTGGACGACCACTACTGAACCCCCGGATAGCTGTTCCTGTAGTTTGAAATTGTCTCCAAAGTCGTGAAACGATGCTGTGAGCAATTCCGAACTCTGCAGCCACACTTGTCACACTGCGACCTTCCTCCAACTTCCCAATGATTCGACCTCGGGTAAAAGCATCCAGATGTCGTCTAACAGATTGATTATTCGCCATTTCTCGCTGAGGCAGCAACTCGGTGTGATTTTAACTGCTATACGGTGTGCAATCTCTTTGCCAGAAATACTAATCTTACACCGACAACATGCTTTAATGCTCAGACACTCCCCCATTACGTCTACCTGCATATCTGCGCATGTGCTACCGTACATCACCTCACTTAATCTCCTGATTGGTCTTTCTGTCCGCTCTGCCTCTTCGTTCAGCTGATATGCTAATTTTTCGACTTCGTCCTTAATTTTTGCACACCAGTGTATATGCACTTAAAAAATACTTTTTGACATCGTGTTTCTTTTTCAAGTTTTTCTACTCATAATACTCTTTGCGAATATGCTAAGCAGAGTATTTAATTGGAATTATCTTGAAAATGATTCCTAGAACACTATATTGAATAATTTATTTCCTTAATGCCCTTGAATCTTTTTTTGGAAATTGATTCTTGTTACAAAGAAAATAAACTAATGTAAATTATACTCTTGCTATAATCTAATCAAAGAAAATATTATCTCTTTTATAAATTTTTTGATAAATGTCTTCACTCAATGATTGTTATTCAATCAATCAATCAGTTCCTAAAGTAAAATAAATAAAAGGATAAACTTTTTTATGTTACACTTCGTGTTTGATTCCCATTTACTCAGCTGTATTGTTTGTATTAAAAAATAGGAAGTGAGAGAGAGGGCGAAGGGATATATGGCTTAAAATAATTTTATAACTTCGCTATTTTAGCGAAAACAATTTTATGCTCTATTTTTAATGAGTAATCTTGCTCTCAAGGGGTGTTTCGTTATCTAACTTTTATCATTTTACTCAGCGAAGATAAAGATTGCACCTTAAACTTCACTTGAAATCCAAATGACATTTGTAAAAATGGCAAGCAAAGGCAAGGTTGGGATCGTTGGAAGGTATTCTTTAGCTTTAATTTCATCAAATGTATAAATTTTTTCCCTCGAAATGAAATGTATCTTCAACGCTTTTTGTCCTTTTTGTGGAATTTAAACTGGAAAAAGAACATTGTATTGCATTTTGATATTTGATTACCTGAGTAACTTTTTTCCAAATATTTTTTTACTTATAAAAACGACCCCCTTCCCCCTGCCTCCTTTTTTTTTCCTTCTTGTATATATTCTAATCTTTCCCCTTGGTTATCTTTTTAGAAAGAAAAAAAACTTAAATTCTAAAACTGTTTACAAGTTCATTTCACTGTACGTTAGTGTATTGTATGTTAAATAAAATGTATGAAAAACTAATGTATGCAATAAAATTCTTTCTACTAGCTTAATTTTTTTTTAAATTTATAAATATTGATAAGATTATTTTTAATTCCTAAATTATTGGGATATGCATAACCATATGAAAAAAATACTAACGTCTAATTTTGAATTTTTGCTAAGATAAATTTAAAAAATATAAAAATAATGAAGAAAAAAATTTTATTGGAAAGTTTGTAATCTGTTGGAACCTCAATTTTGCATGTCTTGTTTGTGCTGAATTAGCAATTATAAGTTTTGTTTCATATAATGTCACCAACAGGTTGCAATAATATGCAAGTACCAAAAATTCTTTCTTGTGTGTGTCCCACTTTAGAAATATACATAATTAGGAATGTGTCTTTAATTTTTTCATCAAATATCCTTATAGTCAATAGGCTGGCATTTGTTAATAAATTATGAGCATTTCATTAGGTAAATGGAGAAAATTACTCTAAGGCTATTTCTTCTGTTCTGTTGTTTAGTACTTATATTTTATATTCCTAATCAGTAAAAAAATACTTTTCTAGTTTTATGAATATATGTATCAGAATGCATCTTTTTTTTTTCAATGTGTCATTTGTTACAATTTGTTTTGTATATTTTTTATACCTTAAGAAAATGTCATTTCAATTTTATAAGAGAGTTCCATTTTTTAATTTTTTTTTAAATTTTTCCTTTGTTTTACACTTAAAAGTATTCCTATACAGCAGTACTTCTCTTCTGTTTATATAGTTTATTGCTTTAAAATGTTTTTGTAATTACAAAAATTTACTGCTTTTTAAAAAAAAAAGTAATAAGTAAACCAAAATAAAATAATATACAGAAATGGTCATAAATTTATCAGTATGAAAAGCTTTGTGGTTTTTAATTATTTATTTGCCATTTACTTTAATATAAATGTGTATTTTTAAACTGTGCATTTTCTGAAAGATATTTACTTTGAAAAATTAATCATGTTTTGAATGAAAATGTTTCTTGAAATTTCATTTTAAATGTTTGCTATATTACCTACAACAGTGGATTCATTGGAAGAGGATGGGCAATGCTATTTGCCAGTGTCGGATATGAAGTCAAGCTATTTGATGTAGAACCATCCAAAATAGATGATGCACTCGCTGACATCAAAGTTCAACTAAATATATTAGAAGAAAAAGGAGATTTGAGAGGTCACTTATTAGCATCTGAGCAGTTTAGTCTCGTTTCAAAATGTGATTCTCTAAAACAATGTGTAGAAGATTCCATTCATGTCCAAGTGAGTTTCATGCATCTGATTTTATAAAACACATACATAAAAAAACTAGAAATATTAAACCAGTTACTCTCTCTCTGTTTATGATGCATTTTATGCTTTTATATTTCAAAATATTTTAGTATCTTTTAATAGGTTCTATGATATACCTCTATTAAATATTCATTTTTTTTTTGTAGGCAATAGATATATTTCCAAAAATTTGTGTAAAAAAAAAATAGTGCAAAAATATGTGTATCTATTAAAAGAGGGGGGGGGGAATTTCTGGACTCAAGAAAACTAAATCAATAATAAAATTGTATTTTTCTGTATTGTATTGTAATTTTATGCATTTCACATTTTATTTTATAGTAATCATATACAGAATAATGTACAGTGAAAATAGTTTAACACAAAACTGAGGGGACCAAAATATTTTTTGCGTTAAAGGATATTGCAAAAAAATATATGCTCAACAAAATTAAGAGTTTATTAGAGTACATTTATGCGTGTATTTAATAAAAGACATTCAAACATTTGCGTTATTTGCTCTCTTTTCTTAATTATTGTTGATATTGATAAAGTTGAGTTAGCAATATCAAAATTGTTACAGATTTCAATTTTCATTTTCTGTTTTTTGGTCAACAGACTTAAAAAGCTCCGTTTTCATTTTAAGCAAAATAGCAGTTTGCTTTCTCCCTGAGCTATTTACCATTGTTCTTGCAAAAAAAATTCTTCTGAAATAGAAAAAATGTGAACCAAACTTGCTGATTTTTACTCATGCCGAGTTGTATTCGTCATCAAATTTCAAAGCCAACTGATGAGAGCTGAGATGTTTCAGTGTGGTGTATATAGGGATAGAGGGTGAAAGTAGCTTAAACAAAATTGGCTCATGTCCCAGGCTATTCCAATAGTATTTCAAAGCCAATTTAGCCTCCTTTCTGTGAAACATGCAAAAATACCTCTTTCATTTTACACTCCTCTTAAATCTAGCCTGCACAGCAGATGTTTTCCATATTTTGTTCATTCTCGGAAGAGAAATCTTCGTGTTAAGCGATTTTCGTTTCATGTAAAGGGGTTTGGGGAAATGCATGAAAATACGTAGTAGTTTGTCAGGACCATTGTATTATTTCTTGCTGACCAATGTTTCGTCTTAAGCAGTTTTGCATCAAATGTATTTCACTGTATTTAGTATAAATTTCTTTTTTTAAAAAAAATAAATAAATAAAAGATATATTTAAGAAATCAACATTTATATACATCTGTCACAGGCACAGCTGAAACAATGAAATTCAATGTGAAATGTGGCATGCATACATATATTAATTGTTGGCTATAAATTAATGTACTAATTAGTGACTTGCTTCAAAGTCAATAAATATCCAGACAGATGCTATTTTTTGTTCATGTCAAGCATCAAAAAGTTTCCTTTCACTTTTAATTCTAAATTTAAAATGAAAATTCGTAACTAAAATGTATGTAAATGTGTTAAAAATCATACTCAAAGAGATTCTTGACTACAAAAAAAGAGAGGTGATTAAATATTTATCTGGTAATGTCCTCTTCTTAAACTACTAATATTCCTTCTTGTGTTAATACTTTATGATTTCTTTTCTTGATGTAACATATCTAACAGTAATTTTCACATTTGAAAATTTTTAGATTATAATTATGTTTGATAAATGTGGTGTTAGAATTTATAAGTATGTTTAAAAAATTCAATATTTATCCAATTTTCAACAATGTTTATAATTTTTGTGATTCTCAATTGAAAATATTTTATAATGTATATCAATTCCTACTATTAGTTCACTCTCCCTATATATATATATATCTAGTTCTCAAATTTTCAATTGTTAATGAAATACTTTCTATTCACCCATTCAAGTTCAAATACATTTTTTAAAACTTGTAGTGGATGACATTTGATGTTAATACAGCTTTTCAAATGTTAGTTCATTAATTAAATTAAAAAATGAATAAATAGGGACAAACAAAAATAATAATCCAACAGTATATATAGAAAGGAAAATCGTTCACTATATCCCTGTAGCAATGGATTGCATGCAGTGGTGTAACAGAGTATATTAGGGCCCCCCTGCAATCTCAGATTTTGGGCCCCAAGCCCAAATACTTATTTGGCATCAGTCAAGCTTTGGGCCCCTAGAGTCCCTGCCCCCACCCCCACAATGCAGGGGTGTTCGTTACACCACTGATAGTGTGTTGGACTTCTAATTGAAAGGTCATGGGTTCGAGTCCCAACTGGAATAGCTTAATTTCTGAGAATGTGATTTCTTTCTTACTATACTATTTTATCAGAATAATTAACAAACAAAAAAATAGTCCAACACCATATGTAGAAAGGAAAATTTCAAGGAAAATCGCCTTCTATTTTGTCACTTAATAGTGTGATTCTGTCATATGTATTTACATATTTATGTTAATAGTAACTATTTAATAAAAAGTAACTAAAATAAAAATTTTCTTTGTTGACCTAAGTAGAAATTAGCTTAAATTTTTTTTTTTTTATATTACTTGTTTTGAAGTAAATTATAAACTGTGATGCCATGCTATTACTATCAGTTTTACAAGAATTATTAAAAGTATTATGTAGAAAATTTAAAGGTTTTTAATTTATATTGAATGTTTCTCTTTTTCTTCTGTAGGAATGTGTATTTGAAAATGTAGACTTGAAAAGGAAAGTTTTTAAAGAGATGGATGCTTTTGCTTCTAACAATGTGGTATTGTGCAGTTCTACCAGCTGCTTCCCTGCTTCTTCATTTTCTGAAGATCTTGTCCATAAAGCACAAGTCATTGTTGGACATCCAGTATGTTGATTTTTTACTTAATTGTTTTCACTTAGATTACATGACATTTAATTATTTGCTTGATTAGTATTGTTTTAAAAATTACAATGGCAAGCATTGTGTCATTTCTGATTGTCTTAACAAAGAATTAGATTAGCTTCTTTGCTTATGTATATGTGCTTAAAATGTATTTTAAAGGGTTAAATTGAAAGGAAGTATCAAACTTTGTTTTGCAAACAAGCATTGAGAAAAAAAAATATTCTTTCTGCATATCTGCATTCCCAGTTTCAAAGTTCTGAAGTATTGGCATTTCGTAGCTTTTTATTCAAATTTACATTTCACAATAACCAAACCACATGCACCACAATAACCAAACCACATGCACAACAAAGAAACTTTAATGTATGATGATTTATACACTTAGTTTTAAACTGTTAAATAATATCTATTTTGTAATTATATAGCAATTTGTAATAGAATTGTGTATTTATCAACTGATAAATAAAAAAAAAATTTAGAAAAAGATCAGATTCCTTCTAAAATGTTTGCTTTGCAATGGAATATTGAGAGAAAAAATAGCCTTCTATGAAGTTCTACTTTCTAAATGACCAAATGTTAGAAAAATGCAATATGAAAAAAAAAATTGCGAATGAAAGGTTAGAATTTTAATCAGAAACTGATTTTAGGACAGTTGTATAGGCTGTACCACCTTATAAATATTATGAGAAATTTTGAACAATTTTAATAATGTAAATATAGTTTCATAGATTTTTAGAGAAGATCCTCTTCTGAAAATTTTTCATTTCTTGTATATTCTCCTGTTTTATTATTACTTATAAACTGAACAATAGCTATGAGCTGTAAAGATATTCAAACTTTTTTCACCAAGTCCTAAAAGTGTCAATGGTTTGCTGACTTTTTGTGGGGTTTCAGATAATCAACAAATACTAAAACTACGCCAATTAATGCCTGTGTGTATTGTTATGAAAAGTTTCTCCTCTCTGATAAAGAACTGTTTTGGCAAGAAAGATGGTTTGCAGGCAAAGAGAGAATGCTCCTTCGGTGAGATGAGTAAGGGTGACCTTGGCATACACACAACAAATTTTGTCACCAAATTTGGTGTGTAAAATAAATTCTCCTATAATCGAGAGAAATCTAGAATGATCATTGAATAAAATAACTTGAGGAACAACTAAAATGACTTTCCAGACTTTATAAGAATTATGTAAGGAAGCAACATTGAGGATTGACCAAACTTAACAGCAACTGTGTATTTCGTTTACCTTGAATAATATTGTGACTATGTGTGTGTCTATGTATATTGATAAGTTCAATATTTATGAGAATTTTGAATCTGTGCTATTGTAGATTTATATTGTGTTAATTTTTCCTTGTGAAAAGTAAATGTACTGCAATTTCTAGAGAGCTCTAGAAGGAATTTATCTTTGATTTACATTGAAAGAACTTGTTAATTGCATGAATTTTTCTTACATTTGAAAGACTATTAACAGATGCACAGTACTGAAAAGAAAATAAGCTTCACTGGCACAAAATTATGTCTGAAATTCATAATACAAAAAAAAATCCCATTACTTTTTTCAATTATGGGAACAGTGCGGAACTTTATTACAGATATTTATTCTTGCATTTCTTAACACTTATATAAAACACGTTGCTATGTATTATATTAGTTAAAATTCCACATAATTTTGAATAGAAATATTCTTTATGCTACTAAACTCAATGTATTGTCAAATCATTAGCTTTTATTGAAAATTATTAATTGCACTTCCCATGTATAATATAAAGAAAATTACCAATGCATTGGAAAACTTCTGTTCCATATAAACTTCAAATTCAAAAACTTCATACTTAAAACTAATTTAGTTTTGAAATTTTAATTTATTGGGATAAAATAAATTTTTAATTAACTTACATACAGGTTAATCCACCGTATTATGTTCCTCTTGTGGAAGTAATACCAGCTCCATGGACTGATCCTGATGTTGTGACTAGAACGAAAAGTTTGATGACAGATATAGGGCAAAGACCTGTGATTTTAAAGAAGGAAGTACCTGGATTTGCAGTAAATCGTATCCAGTATGCATTACTAAATGAGTGTTGGCGAATATTTAGAGTAAGTATTGAATGTTTATACCTCTGGAAATTATATTAAAATTAATGAAATTAGAATTTAAGTACTGCTGTAATTTTTTGTTATAAATTTATTTCATGTTTTTAATTCTAGATAAATTGTGAAATATTAGGAGAAATACAATATTTTTTATTTCAATTTGTGTGATGTTCGTTACAATTCCAAATAAGTTAATATAAAAGCTAGTCATATTTATTCAGCCATCTTTTCAAATTCTTTAATAAAAAAAATTTTCCGTTCTGCATAATAAATTTTAATTTTCCTGTGGCAATCAGTGGCGTAGCTAAGTGTCCAAAGGCCCTGGTGCAAAAAATAAAAAATGAGGCCCTATCTTGGTTGGATTTTATTAAGTAAAAAAGTAAAAATATGTTAGTATTTTATGCATACAAAGCAACTTTAACATCAGCCCTTTATCGTGCTCTGTAGAACCTAGGAAAGCAAAGCTACATACTACTTACGTGTATGAGTTTTCTTGTGAGAACTTCAATTTGACACGTAATAGATAGGAAATGATACAAAAAATATGCATGAAGAAGAAAATATAATACAATATTATTAAAATTATTTTTAAAAAAACACACCCCTGTGAAAGAACAGGGGGTGGAACAAAATTACATCAGTCTATTGCAGATACTAGATTGCAAAATACTAAAGCAGGAAAACAGCTTATTTTGGGGGAATCGCCTAAGTTCAAAATTATTTCCAACTGAGTTGCCCTGATTATAGTTATGTTGCAGCCTTTTATATTTATATCTTAAATTTGGGGGAATTATTACAAGTTCAGCTTGCTTGGTGGTCAGGGTCTGAGGGGCCCTGGTGCATAGCACTGCCTAGCCAATTGGTAGCTATGCCACTAGTGGCAATCTTTTACAGTAATTGTCAAGAAAAAAAGTATATAACTGGGTCCCAGTGGCATAAAGAAGTATATTAGGACACCCCTGCAAAGTCAGGTTTGCGCTGTCAGTCAGACTTTGGGCCTGGCCTCTCAAAATGTGTGGGTGTACGTTCTTTGCTGCTGGGTCCCCTCATAAAAATCTTATTTTCATATAACTGAAAAAATTATTTATTTATAAATGATGTATTAGTTTTTATTTTGCTGTTACTTTAATTTTAATAAGTTATGTCAAAACATATCTGGTAAAGAATTTATAACATTTCATGTATTACATTTTGTTTTATCACCATTGTTTTTGCTTTCTTATGGAAATTTTTCTAATTTGATTGTTTTATTGACATTGCACTCTGAAGTAACACTGGTTTTTGATGTTGGACCTTGTAATTTTGAGTCGTGTTCAAGTGATAAGGACAACGCCTGAGCTGGCATGAAACTTGCCAAACTTACACATCATACCAACAAAATATAAATGGATTTAACATGCTATATGACTGGACTTAACAGGCCATCGATATTTGAATTCATGGCTCAAAAAAATACTCACAACCATGGCCACATGGCTATTGATAAAAATTTTCTGAAAGCTCATTATGTTCATAATGCTGCATATAATCTTTTTAATAATTTTTTATTTTATCTTACTTTATTATAATAAACAAACACTATTGCTTACAGCTTAGTTAGGTTAATATGTATTCTATGATTTTTGCTTAGTAATACCTTGTACTTTAATAAATTTACTGTAAAATCCAGCTTATAATGCACACTTTTATAACAAAAAAATAAGGTTAAAACTTACAAATCCACGTAATACGCCAAGTATAAAAATGATAGTCTCAAAAATAAAAAAAATTATGAGCATAAAAAAATTAGACTTCTACATAGGTCAGAAAACTGTTTTTATTTAAAAGAAATATCATACCTATTGATCTTGAAGGTTGTAGTTCTAGAATTATGTTATTTTTTCAAAAACCTGAGATAATACTAGGAATAAGTAACTTCAGAACATAAGAACATTGCATATGTAAATTTCAGATTCCTTCGTAAAAAAATGGGGGGGTGCACGTTATGTGGCGAATATATCTAAAAATTTAAAAAGTGTAGCTTGAAAGTATAGGGGCTCATTATATACCAGATTTAACAATAATCAAAGTAATATTAGTCTTGACTAGTAAATATTTGTTTTGTTTTTATTAAAGAGTACAGTTTGAAAAGAAAAGCTATAGAAAAACAATGTTGAAAATATATGTGAAGCAACATTTACATATTATTACATTATCAGTTATTGTACTGTTAAAATATTAATATAAATTTTATTATTGTAAAATCTGGTGTATAATGCACTCTTGTAACCCCAAAAATGAGACAGAAATGTTCAGGTGCCCATTATATGCGGAGTATAAAAATGATTGC